CCATCCATAGTTAAGTATTAGGTGTATTTTAATTCTGTGTCCCTCTCTCAGAGCCATTGTGGGAAACTTCACATTTTCTATTGGATAGGTAAATCTCAGACGATTAAAGAATTTTTCAGGTCAAAACTAAGTATTTGAAGTCCACCCAGTAGCTAGCCAGCAGCCATAAAAGGACTCCAGCACTGTAGAGTCCTATACTCTGCACTTAAAAGAGCAACTGAAATGAACACAGCCCCATTTTACAAAAATACCACCTTCAAGGTTTCAAAAAATGTGGAAAATGTTATTACCCCATGCTTTGAGGGGAAAAAAAAGGGAGAAATAAAAAAAAAAAATCTTAAACATTTCCTGATTATATTTTTACTACCCTTGAATTACACTTCCAAAATGTTATTTTTTATTCCACCCCTTCAAAATTTACCATATCTATGCACAATTTAAGGTCCACTACAAGCATGTTCTCAGGGTACCTTCCATAAAAGGAAGGAAATAAAATGAGAACAGGACCAACCCTTCAGGACACACATTTAGAGCTGTTTCATGTGTTCCAGCTGATTTTTAAGAACTGCAACAAGGAGGGATTTTTTTTTTTATTAATGATCAAACAGTATGAGGAGCAATAAAAATTAAAATTCCAACAATGTAACAGTTAACATGGTTAGTGAAGAATTATCTGTTCTTGCCATAACATCTCATCTGTATAGGAATCACCACAATTAGTGTTTCCACTCTAATTGTAAGCTTTCAAAGACCAAATAAAAAAAATTTCTGTTCACATCTGCAAATATAAAGTGGGAAACAGAGAATAAAAACCTCAAATCACTACGTGAAGTTTTGGTCCTTCACTCTCAAAAAATATTCTAAGTTTCGGCACAGAAAAAAGAACAAATATGGCTAACAAATTACATTTTCTATAATTTTTCCTTACTTTGAGCATGTTTATCCCTGCTTGATATTTACAGAAGCAAAAATACAAATCAATGCCACTAAATTATTTTTTTCATGAACTGTGAACATTGCAGACACCACATATACTTAAGCATCACCAAACCATTTCCCACCGCCTTGTGCACACCAGATACAAACCCTCATTACACTGAAGATCAGCAACACAATCCAATTTCCATCCACTGCTCACCTCTGGAACAGAGATAGCTGCATGAGGGGCATTTGAGGCCTATTTTCCTTAAATCAGCCTACAGACACCTCTGCATCAGAGATGAAGCACAGCTGGCAAGTTGTTGCTCTCCCCATAGCATCATCACCTACAGGGTACACCTTTGTTACCTGGTTCTCCTGCTCCCTTCCCAAACAGGCTCCCCAGAAGGGACATAGCGAATTTATTTTCTCAACAAAGAGCCCTCGAGGTGGGGAAGAAAAATAATTAGCCCTCTAATTGGAAAAACACCTCATCGTTACCACAACTGAGGTGTTTGTGAGCGTTTTAGGTACCTGAAGGCCCCAGGAGCAGGCATAGAGGACCAGGTCGGGGTGGGAAGCCCACCTGGACATGGAAGCCAGAGCCGGGAGGCTGCCCCAGGCACACCCCCAGGTGCCCAGAGTTAGCGCCTGCCCTCCCCCCTCATTGCGCACAAGTGACATCAGGGCTATTTGAATAATCAGATTGCAGCCTACATCGCCTTGTGAGATACCAGCTGCTCTTGGATTGCAGCGAGGTAGTACCCAAAGCCTTGCACCACAAGTTCCACGTACGCCATGGGCTGCCAACATCCTCCCGCACTGCTGCTTTGCGAGGAGAAAACTCATCTAAGTAGTGAATGTGACCAACAGTGCCCTACCTTCCCTCTCAGAGCACGACTAGCAGTCAAAATCATTACAATGCCTCCTCTAACTTTTGCATGAAGTGACCTAAACCTTTAAATATTGCAATAGCCTTCCTCCACACCGAGGGGTCTAAATGCAGAAATGCTGCATTCCTTTGGCATTCCCCTGAGATTTCAATAGTAAGTCAGGAATCTACTCCAAGCTTATTAAATACTTCGCACCTCCCCCAAAATAATTCCCCACCCTTCCATCAAGGAAACCTTGACCAGGCCCCTTCTTTCAACCACAGCATATCCCCTTGTCTGTTTTTAAATGCTTCCAGGGGGCAGGGAGCAAGAAAGCCACACACAGGCTCTCTCCTTCCTTCCACAGCAGGTAGGAAGGCAATTTTCAAACCTGGGTGTGCCCAGTTCAAATCAGAAGATCCAGCAAGGGCTGGAATGCAGTGACTACTGGGCCCAAGAATTTTGCCCTGAATAACAAGCCAGGCACACTCCACATCTTCTAGATGCAGCTCAACTTTATGGCAACCCTAGCTGACACCACCTCTTGACCTTCCTTTATGTGACAAGGATATGGATTACCAAACCCTTACCCTTTCCTCCTGTGCACCTCAGGTATCTTTCTCCAGAGATGGCTACAAGCTACCTTTCTGAGCAATAATGTACACACTCTGATTAAAAAACCAAACCGAAAAAAAACCCAGAAACCCTACTAATTATCATGTTTAAGGAGGCTGTGAGGAAAGGATCTAAGACTCTCCATGAAGCAGCCTCACAGCAGCAGAGGTCAATACAATGTATTGAATAATTTCAGTGCACTACAAAACAACTTTTGCTCTTATGAAGTAATCATTTGACCAAACTATTAATCGTACACTTGTGCTGAAAGAGACTTGACACATCCACGTTTGTTTTTTTTTAAATGGCGTCACTTCTCTAACCGTATCTCGCACGCTGGAGTGCACAGGGCTCTCTGGAAAGCGCTCCCTGGCCTCGCAGCCTGCAAACACACTGGGTGGGCCTGAGGGGCAACATCCCCCACTCCAGCTGCATCTCCACCTTTCCCTTGTGTAAAAATAAGTTACTTTGAGAGAACCTTACCAACCAGTTTCGCCAACAATACTCAACAATTGAAAACTGTCCTTTTACATGTAACTACCAACTAACACTAAATATGCATCCAGTAAGCAGTGTTTAAGAAAATAAGGAAAAAAATCTCCAGCTTTTTGATCCTCCCCTCAAGAAAGAAAAATATTAGACATCTATACAAGGAACCAGAGAGTCACTTCTACATATGGAGGCCACTGAATGAATTTCAAGTGGCTTCCTATATTAGATTTTGGGAGAAGGGGAGTGGAAACAAAAGGGAAGGAAGTGCAGTTATGAGAAATGCAATTTAATTTTCTGTTAAACAGTAGTCTAAATCTGAACTATATCTAATACATTCCAACATGATACTGCACAATAAAACAGTGTTTCAACAAATAAGGGCTTTGGGAGAAGTAACACGGGTATGCTGATACAGTTACATTTGCAATTTTTTCAATATGGCTACATGTAGGCAAGCATGCCTACAAAAGTGTTTAAGTTCAGTACAGAATTATTTTCAACAAGTTACAGGCAGATAAATGTTTCTGATAATTGCTAATTCACAGATAAATAGGAGGACATGCTACCCAACAGAAAGAATGGACTTTTACACCATTTCAGCTGACAGCTGAAACAAGAGGAAAATACTTTTAAAGACATTAAACAAAGATTAAAAAAAAAAAAAGTTGGGGCAGAACCAATGATTTAAAATTTATATTTATGAGTGTAATGAATTTTTTTTCAACAGCATTAACAGACCGCTGTTTGTGCAAGCTTAAGATTAATAAGCATAAGAGTAAGTTTATTTGAGACTAACAGGAAATTACCAATTCTTATATAGCTTATGGAAGTTTCTTCTTAAATCTAAAAATATATTTCATCTACAACAATTTTGTATACAAAATATCTGAAATATAGGCTATTGTAAATCCAAACCATATACCTTGCATATTAAATGAGAGCACATAGAGCACATTAATTCCCAGTGAAAAGTATCAAATAAATAAAACCATGAAGATTCACATGCTATGAATTAGTCCAGAGAGTTTGCCCCCTCCCTTAAATAGAGCAAAAATCCTCCATACTTTCTCAAGTGAAGCTTTCCTCTAACACTAAATAGTGATCAAACTTCTAATTCTCAAAATACAATGCCCATCAAGACAGCTTAATCGTTTTTTCCAATCAACTATCTTAAAAACACTGTAGTTTAAAAAAAATAATCTTGAAATAGTAGAAGCCCCCTTTAACAAAGTTACACAGACATACTTCCCAGATTGAATAATGGAGTACAGGAACAAGCACGTGGAAAGTTTGATCTTTTTTTTTTTTTTTTTTTTTTTTGCTCTCTAGTGCACGGCAGGTTTTCTATAATCTAAATATTTGTGAAAGTAGGCTGAATTGCTGTAGGCAGCGTAAAAATACTATCTTGCTTTATACCAAATATTGCTTTTTTACAGGAGGCCCAACAAAATTACTGCTTCACAAAAATTAAAGGTATGTTTAGAAATTAAGGATGCATAAATCCTGTCCTTACTGGGAAGGAGTCATTCTCCAGCTGCTCCTAAAGACCAGCTCAAAATAGTGATGATAAAATCCTCTCAAATACAGATGAGACTTCTACTACATGCCTATAAAATGCTGCAGACTCCAAAATGGCAGGATCAAAAATATATATACACCAGTGTATTTACAAGGTGCTTTTTGTTGCTGAAGCAGAGCTCACATGCTTGCCCGTTATACAGTTCACAACACCACATTTCATTTCCTGCTAGCACAGATTTTAACTCTTCTCACATAACTTTAAATTTTAAAATCTTCACAATCATTTGTCATCAGAGCATTTTAACCTGCCTCTCCCACAAAAAGGTGCTTCTCGTTGGTTGGTTTTTGGCTCTGTTTTTTTTTTTTTTTTTTTTTAATAAATTAAATAGTACCACTGCAGCCTGGCCAAGACACAAATACATGGAGTGATACTAGAAAACCTCTCGGACAGCACTGAGTGCACGCCTGTGGTTTTAAGAAAGCAGTCCATTTATCTACAGGGAAGAGAAACACAAACCTAAGCATTTTTCAAATTGCTTCTCACCGGGTAACTAGGGGCAAGGGGGAATAAAAATAAATTACCTTTGTCTTTTCGGGACCGAATGTTCAACTTCTATGAGTTTCCCATGCAGCTCCACTTTACCTGCCGAGATAAACAGAAAGGGGAAAAATATTCGAGTGCGGCTGTGCGTCCCCGTCTCTCGGAGCGGGCTCGCAGGGGTGCGAGGCAGGGAACGGGAGCGCAACACGTTAGCCCATTCATCGGCAGCCCGGGCACTGCCGAAGCGGGGTCGCGGCGCCCAGCAAGGAGACGCATCCCGGAGCCCGGGGCCGCGCCGCTGCCGCGGGAGAGCCGCGCTGCCCTCGGCGGGGCCCCTTCCCCCGCCCCGCGCTGCAAACAGCCGGCGAAACGCCGTGTGCGGGAGCCGGGCTCGGCCCCGTCTCGGGGAGGGGGAGCGGGGTCTCCGCCGCCCCCCGCGCTGCCAACTTCGGGCGGTTTTCAGCTCGGAAGCGGACGGGAAGGGAGCCGAGAGGAGGCGCGGAGCGCAGCCCGAGCTCATCTCCTCCGAGGCAGCCTCTCCCGGCAGACCTGAGCCCATCTCCTCCGAGGCAGCCTCTCCCGGCAGACCTCCGCAGACCCGCTTCACGCGAATTTTTTTTTTTTTTTTTTTTTTTTTAAAGCACACAAAAACAGGATGTCGGGGCCAGGAGCCGGCGCTGCTGGAGGCGGTGATGGGTGCGTGAGAGCAGCGAAGAGAAACCGAAATAAATAGCCGGGCAGCGCCGGGCGGGGGGGGGCAGGCAAGGCTCCCCCCTCCCAAGTTTGGAGCAATTCGGCGGCTCACCCCCAGCCCCGCGGCCTACGCCAAACCGAGGGGAACCTCAGCCCGCTCCGGAGGGAGGCGGCCCCTGCGAGGGGCCGCGGGGGAGTCCAGCTGTGCCCGGGGGGCGTGTGTGCAGCCGCTGCTCCGCTCAGGGCTCCGCGCCCGCAGCCCGCCTCCGCCTCACTGCACTCATCGCCCCCCCAATGCAGCGAGGGCCCCCGGCCGGGCAGGGCTGGCCGTGGGGCTTGGAAAAACATGGGAGCTGCCGCTCCGCGGGTCTGTGGGCCCAGGCTCTTGCCCCTCCCCGGCCCCACTCCCCGGCCACTCCCGGGGGGCCGCCGCAGCGCAAGCCCCGCGCAAAGTCTCCGCGGGAAGGCCGGGCGGCTCCGGCCGCGCTCGGAAAACAACAGTTCGCCCCTCACCTGGGGGCGAAGAGGCAGGGATCCCCCCCAACATCCCCCCCGGCCCGGCGGCGGGTCCCAGCCCGCCGCTGCAGCCGCTCCGCCGCCGCCGCGGAGGAGGGCGGGCGGCGGGAGCCGTCGGGGCTGCGGAGAGAGGGTGGGGGTGGTGGAAGGAGCCGCTCACCTGAAAGTGCTTCGATGGCCTTCATGGCCCAGCTCTCGTCGGGGCAGTCCACGAAGGCGTACCCCGTCTTCACCAGGAATTGGCCCGAGAAGGGGATCTTGGAGTCCTTAAAGAGACTTTCCAGGTCGAGGGGGCTGACGTTCTCGCCGAGGTTGCCGATGTAGAGCTTGTTCATCTTCCTGGCGGCTCGGGGAGGCGCGCACCGCGGGCTGCAACCCTCGTCTTGCGAGAGGAGGTGGGGAGGAAGGGGGAAATAAAACAAAATGCGATGGAGGAAGGAGAGAGAGAGAGAGGGAGAGAGAGAGAGGACAGGGAGAGGAAGAAAAAAAAAAATCAGATCTGCAGCTTGTGTCCCTCCCTCTCCCTCTCAAGGGGTGTAAAAAAAAAAAAAAAAAAAAAAAAAAAAAAAAAAAAAAAAAAAAAAAAAAAGCGCGTAGCCAAACGGGAGCCCTAAGTGCCTGCCGTGCTACCCGGGCGCATGGGGGGCGCGGGGGAAACACCCAGCGCCGGGGCCGCGGATGGCGGGCTGAGGAGAGGAAAAGGAGGAGGGGAGGGGAAAAAAACTACTTTTTTTGTCTTGCCCCCGAACCCCTTTGGCAGCAGCAGGCGGACTATGAAAATGTCACACTACGTGCATACAGGCGTCGCCTCTCCGTATAAAAAAAAAAAAAAAAAAAAAAAAAAAAAAAAAAAAAAAAAAAAAAAAAAGAGAGAGAGAGAGAAGGGGAGGGGGGAGGGAAGGGCGGAGGGAGAGAGAAAAAAAATTACTTGAATATTCCAGCTTTTTGAATGAGCCACGTGTTCAAACTACAAATCAACTTCTCACGTGAGGAATCCCAGCTCTTCAATTAGCGAGTGGATACGGCGCACACACACTCGCGGAGGAGGGCTGGGGTGAAGGACGGGGAGAGGGGTGGGGGGAGGCTGGACAGGACAAGTTTAGAGAGGGCCGGAGGGCGGGGGAAGGGGAAACCGGAGTTGGGTGGGCTCCGGTCTGCGCCGCCTCTGCCCTTCCGCCGGGGGAGACCGCTCCGAGCGCCCCCTCCGCCCAAAAACGGCTGGGCGGCCGCACCTCCCCCCGTGCGAGTAGGGTGTGATCCCAGGGAGGGAGGGGAAAAGGCACCGCAATGCCCGCCCCCCCCCCCGCCCCGCTCCTCCCCCGCCGTGCCAGGCGGTGGGGATTATTCATCGGGGTCGTGCCTGGGCGATCCCGCTCTCCGGCACTATGGGTTGGGGGGAGGAGGAAGAGGGGGAGGAAAAAGAGGGGGTGCGAGTGTGGGGGGAGGCGGCGGGGGAGAGAGAGCGGGATCCGCTCCCGCGCAGCGCCGCCGCGGCTGCGTGCTGGGGGGCTGCGGGGCGGGGGCGGGGGTCCCTCCAGCCCCGGAGGAGCCCCATATGGTAATGATCCCACATTACTCGCGGTGCCCCTTGTACTGAGCCTTACGGAAGGGAGGAGAAAGAGGGGGAGAGGGGGAGAAAAAAAAAAAAAAAAAAAAAGACAAAGGGGTGGAGGAGAGCTGGGGGATGATGAAGAAGAGGAGAGTCCTGGGGCGAGGGAGCTGTCTGGCCCGGGGAGGGGCGGGGTGGGGGGCGCGCTCCCTGCCCATCTGGGCAATGGTGGACGGTGCGGGGGGAAACGCGAAGGCACCGTTGCCGTCGGCTGGTAACGGCACACAAAGGGATTTGGCGACCCCCCTCTTTTCCTCCCCTCCTCCCCCTGCCCGGTCTAAGGAACCATTCATAATTCTCCACATTCGTACAGATACAATGGTGGGCTTGTGGGGGAGGGGTTTGGGGGTGTGGAGCCTTTCCAGTGCAAACAAAACGTTGCCTGAAGATGAAGAAAGGATACGGAAATGAAAGCCAGCACTGTGTTTAATATAGCGATCTAGTAGGTTTTGTTTAATAATTCAATGCACTTTAGCCGAAGGTTTCATTTATTCCGTGATAGGCTTCTTGTGGTACGTTTTAATAGGTATATCCATGGAAAACGGTTAAATACTTTTATTAGTGAGCAGTGTCTGGATTTCCACATGTTCTGTAGTATGTCTGGAAATCCATAGTAAAGAGGAACGCTTCCTAGTTTTGTGCCTAAACTTCTAACAAGTATACAATTAAAGAGGGGTGATTTAAATCTCCTTGGAAGCCGTGCTGGGGTCAGGCTTTTGTTACCCGCGCTGCGGCCGCCGCAGCTCGGTGGTGGTACCCAGCGCTCGCGGGGTGAGTCAGTCGCTGAAGATTTTGCTTGTGGTGGTATGATGATGCAAGGAGACATGGCTCACCATGAGGGCTGAAGCCCCAGACCATTGTGAAATTGTCAGGGGCTGGGCGAATGCTGCAGCAAGCTGGAAATACGGCCCTTCTGTTGTGTGCATCCAAGCGGTTGGCTGACCAAAACCCTAATATTTGTAATTTCAATCCATTGTTTAATCTCAGGGTTCTTTTAATGAACTTTTAATTGTCAGGTTATGATTGAGGAAATCGAGTGTTTTGTGTTTCGCTAATCAGAATTTAATCACAACTTCCATTTTGTAGAAAATTTGCAAATAATTATCTTGGGGATAAAGATTTTTTTTTTCCTAGAGATTTAACCTGTTTATGACTTTTCAGGGTTGGATGTAGAATTTTTTCATAAATGAATTTGTATTTCATAACCCCAGTCTGTATAGGCTGGCTAAAATAAATAATTGCTTATCCAAGTTAAAAAGAGCCTCCTCAAAACTACCGAATTCTTAGTTAAACTTGTGAAAGGAATTAGTCACTGCTCCTGCAGATTAATTGCATTCTTTATAAATTTGATTTGTACTGAATCTATAAGGCAGTCTATATGAGCTCATTTCTACATGGTTGGTCTATAGTGTTATGTGGTATTTCCTCTAAAATTGCTAAACAGGGTGCATATATTTAATTTTCTAGTTTGATAATCTGTTTTGTTGGAAGAATTTTTCAAAAATGAAGATTCAATGCTCATGATAACATTATGCATTACTTGTCCAATAACATCATAAACCGCTTTGTAATCAGATGACTGGGGGGAAAAACCCTTACTTATTAGCAATCCCCCCCCTTTTTGTTTGTTTGATACTCTGAAAAACCTCTTGCTAATAAGCTGAAATATTTTCTGTAAATCTAAATAATGTATAGCTTTGTTTGTTAAGAAGTGTGGGTTGGTTAGTGGTTTCAAGAGTAATTCCACGTCTTGAATGCCAAAAAAGGCAAATCAACAACAAAAACTTGTTCATGCTTCCTGACAAATCTCCACTTCCCTGCACAGATGAACACAGTTCAGACCAATGGGGCTCTCCCAAATGTTAAAGTTATTGAGAATATAGCTTTGCAATTTGAGATGTAATTTATTTTGGCAGTCACAAATCAAATGCGTGAGCACACATCAGAGCATTCCCACATACTAATATATTTTTCGATTCACTTCTTTAAGAAAAAGCATCATAAAAAATTTTAATTTTTTTCTGTATTTCAATTGTTTGTGTTTATTGCCCACAGAAGCCAAGAAGTTGTTAAAATACTTACATAAATATTGCACACAAGGAAGCACAGCCAATCTTTAATTAGCAAGGGCTTTTACGACATTCTGCCGTTTAGAATTAAAACTCAACCATGTGCTTCTCCCCACCCCCGGGTGAGACTCCGAGAGCCTCCGCCGCGTCCCTCCACCCCCTCTTTCATGGCCAGGGGAGGGCAGGGCGCTCCCTCCATGTCCCTTCCCGAGGGTAGAAATCCCCGGCTCCCGCGGGGGTCGGCGCACGGTGGGTGGGTGGGTAGCACGTCGGTCCGGCCGCAGCTCCCATATTTCCTTTTTTTTTTTTTTTTTTTTTTTTTTCCAGGTTACAGCTGCCTACGGGCGGCTGCCGCGTGGGTTTGTGGCTGAGGCGCGATGGGCAGCGGGGGCCAGGAGGCGCTTCCCGCGGGCTCGGGGCGGCCGCCGACACGACGGTGGAGGCGCCGCCGCCGCTGCCTCCGCCGGGGCGGCGCGGGCGCGGAGCCGCCGGTCCTGGCGGGGCGGGCACCAGCCACGACGGGACGGGACAATAACGCTGACCCGTCCGGCCCGACCCGGCCCGGCCCCGCCGCGCCCCCTCCCTCCGTCTGTCCGTCCCTCCCGCCCGTTCCTCCCGCCGTGCCCGGGCCGCGCAGCCCCCGCGGGCGGCCATAGCCGCTCGTAGTAAAGCGGCGCGGCTGCGCCGCCTCCCATTGGCTGCGCCCTGCGCCTACCAGCGCCGCCCGCCACGGCGGCGCGGCCGCCCATTGGCCCCCGCGCCGGCCCCCGGGGCGCGTGGCGCGAAAGCGGCGGCGGGGGCGGCGGGGGCGGGAGCGGCGGTGGGAGACGGGCGGGGATGGGATGTGATGGGAGACGGGCGGGGGGCGCGGCGGGGCCGGCCGGGGCAGGGCCGGCTCGGCACGGCACGGTACGGGATGGAATGGGACGGGGCGGGATGGGATGGGAGAGCCAGCCCGCTCCCTCCCTCCGCCCTCCCTCCCGGCGGCGGGCCGGGTCTTTGTAAGGCGGTAAGTGGGTGCCACGCCGCAGAGGTGCCGGTTCCGGGGCCGCCGTGCCACAGCCGCCGTCGCCGCCGCCGCGCCGGGAGGGGCGGCGAACAAAGGAGCGGCGGCGCGCGGCCGCCGTGCGGGAACGGGATGCCCGCGCCGGGGAGCCGTGGGATAAACCGCACGGGGCGGGTCTCCAGCGCCGGGGGGCCTCCCGCCGCCGCAGCGATCGGTGCTCCCGGGCCACGAGCGGCGCTCTCGGCGGGTCCGGCCGCCCTTCCCGAGGCACGTACCGCCAGCTGCCTGGGCAGGTCGGGAAGGCGGTGGCGCCTCGGTGCCGGCGGCCGGTCCCGCTGCCGAGGCTGGGAGTGGCTGGGCTCGGCTCCGCCGGTCCCGGCGAGGCTGCCGGTGCTCGGCGGAATGCCTGTGGGAGCACCGGGATCAGCCCCGCTCCGCTCCGGCTTGGAAGTTTTTATCACAAAATGCTGCAAAACCCAGTGAATCGGCGACGGAGAGCGCGGCGGGCGGCGGTGCCGGTGTGGAGTGAAACAAATAAATCGCACGATGCATCGGAAGTTTCAGGGCTTGAGATATAACATTGTAGCCAGCTCTGTTCGAGTTTCTTTCCAATAAAAAAGAATTACAAAGTGGTTAGCTGTCTGTGCTGTTTTGCTGACCGGAAAGTTACAGGAGTTTTTTTGTTTTGTACTGAAATGTGATCACAGTCTTACTGCACAAAAGTAATACAAACAATTTCTAAATAAGTATTCCGGTATATAAAACGTGCTGATTGTGA